TCTCTGTAAACACACCTTGGTATAATTTAAGGAAAAAAGAAGAGTTGAAGAGGAAATAGTTAACTATATTTAAAGAAGATTATATCACAAGTTTTGCCAGTTTTCAAACAAATCTTCAATCATGTTAAAATTAATTTTCTTGGATTTTGTTTCAGCAACTGCAGCCAAAAATTATGTATGTTTACAGTCATCTGAACATTTATAAAGAGGTTTGAAACACTTAATTATAAGGAGTGAATTATGGTATCAGTCCTTGATTTATGGCTCTAATCTTAGTTAACTAATTAGAACTGTAAAGTGTTCCAGTTCATTTACATTATCTTTCATTAGGTGGCTTTTAAGAAGTGATGGGAAATTGCAACTTTTAAAGAAATTTATTTAGCCTGCCAACTATTTTTTCTGCTTTTCAAAAATACATTATTTCCTTGTTAATATACGTGTAAGAGTTTTATAGGTGTCAATACCATAGTCTGAAGTTGAATTTTGGCACCAGGTTCTCTTTGAAGAAGAATAATATCTTTTGTAAGCAAGAAATTGCATTTCTTTGGTTACTGAACATCAGGAGCTGGTTCTCATCCTGTCTCCTTTTTCCCAAAATTCCAAAACCTGCTTTCCTTGTGACATATTTGAGAAAGAGTTTAAAATAAACATCTAGACTGTCTTTTATTTATAACCACCCATCAGAAAGTAACTACATCATTATTTTTTATATTTTAAGCAAAACTGAGGTTCATAGTGTTGGGCTGAGGTGCAACTGGCACAAGGTGATTCTGAGAAAATTCTGGATATTGGGAAGGATAAAAGTCACCCATGGGTGATCACCCTTGAAGTTGATCAGGCATTCAAACAGTAGACAGAGAGGTTTGGAAAATCTCCAAAATGGAATTCTGATCTTGACTGGATGAACCCTTGAGCAACCTGGCTTGATGTTAAAGTTGTCTGTGTTTTAAAGAAATGTTTAAAGTATAACTTTCAGGAGTTCATTCCAACCTAAATTACTCTGTAATTCTGAATTGTCATGAACGGATATCCCAAACAAATATTTAATAATATTTAAGCCTAAAAATGAATAATAAAAAAAAGTTTTATGGGATATGGTTGAAAGATTATTGAGTACAACTGAGTGACTTTTATTTTTAATGAGCCAAGTTTTGATCATCATAAATATTTCTCCTTATTTACAAATACCACAGAAGTATATTCCCTTTTTCCAGTTCAAAGTGAGGAGAGCTGGTTTGGGTTAATTATGCATTCTCTGTGCTACACAATTTATTATTTAAAATCTAAATACTATTTGTATGTAGTCTGTAAAGAAATTCTTAAATTTATTAATGGAGTACAACATATCTGCTTGTGAAAATGTTGAGTTGGGTTTCAGGGTTTAGACATACTGGAGATATTTGATCTGTACATCGTTCATCTTTGATCTGTAGGTTGTTCATCTTCAAGGCTCAAAAAGTATGGAGGAATGCAGAGAATCCCCGATGGGTCAGGCTGGAAGGCCCCACAGAGGTCGCCTGGTCCCAGCTCCCTGCTCAGGCAGAGCACAGGGCACAGGGCTGTGTCCAAGCAATTCTGGAATATCCCCAGTGAGGAGACTCCACAGCCTCTTTGGACAATCTGCTTAGTGCTCTCAGTGAAGTTCTTGTGTTCAGGTGGAACTCCCTGGGCTCAGTTCCTGCCCTTTCCTCTGGTGCCATTGCTGGGCCCTGGAGCAGAGACTGGGCCCTGCTCTGACCTTCCTGCACCCAGGGACAGCCAGGGACACCCGGGGACAGCCAGGGACACTCAGGAACACCCAGGGACAGCCAGGGCTTAGGGCCCCTCTCAGCTGTGGCTCCTCTCCAGGCTGAACAGCCCCAGCTCCCTCAGCCTTCTCTGGGCCAGGAGATGCTTCAGTTTCCTTCATCACCTTTGCAGATTCCCCGCTCCAGGAGCTCCAGGTCTCTCCTGTCCTGAGGAGCCCAGAACTGGACAGAGTTCTCCAAATGTGGCCTCACAGGGTTGAGCAGAGGAGCAGGATCCCCTCCCTGCACTGCTGGGAATGCTCTACCTAAAGCACCCCAGGATGCCATTGGTGTTCTTGGCTACCAGGATGCACTGCTGGCTCAGGGACAGCTTGTTGTCCATGAAGGCATCCGGGTCCTTCTCCCAGAGCTGCTCCATCAGGTCACCCCCTACCTGTGCAGGTCCAGAGGTGCAGGACACTGCATTTGCATATGCAAATAGATTGGCCCATGCATATTTCCATATGTTAGGTAGGTTTTTGGGTCTCACAAAAGAATTGAGTGCAGGGTCTTCAAATCTAAGGAGCTAAATTTGATTCATGACTTGCTGAGAGGTGTAAGATCTGTCTGAAAGTTTCTATGTACAGAACCTTACACCTAGGGCTGTAAGGAAGAGGAGGGAAAGGGAGACATTTCTGGAAGGATTGGTTAGGGATCTGAAACAAGCAGCTATTCTTTTCAATATTTTTTTCTTGCTAATTCCATAAGTGGCTTATATAGTTCATTTGGTGCAGTCATAGTCCTGCTACTGCCACGTGAAATATGAGGTTGTGAAAATGAATTTATACAGCTGAATTCTTAAAATCCCAAGCATTACCGTTTGGCTCAAAAGCCCCATTACATAAATATGCACAGGCCTAACTCTTGGAGAAGTCATTTCTAATTTAGGTGCTTGTAAAACTGCTCTGCTTACTGCTGTGAAACACAGACCCTAGAAGATACATGTGAGACATAATTTCACATTCTGGCTAATGCAGCATTTTTTCTGCCAAGTCAGCAGTTCCTGGAGCTGGAACAATATGTTATCTGGTTAAAATTCTTCTATTTTTCCTTTTATTAAAGAATGGATTTTCATAAATTCCCTGTGTTTATTACTATTTAACTGCTGAGGACTCAGTGAAGTTACAGATTTCTCAGAGGTTCCTTTCTCTGTATAAGAGTGAGAGTTATGAGGTCTGTGTGTGAACTGGAAGTGTTATTGAGAAATAAGATCTTTTCTAAGAGCCTTGTCCTGCTGAAATTAAGAAAGTAAAGTGGAGTTTGTCTTTAGGTTTGAATAAATCCATTTGAGCATTTTCTGATGAATAATAGATACAATTTTCAGTGCTAAATGCACATGTTGGTCATGTGTTCATGTTCCTAAATTTTAATGTACTTTTTAATACACTGTGTTGTTTTTGTTGTTTTTTTTTTATTTTTCAAATTATTTGTGTCATTTGGCTTGCACTTGCTGATTGCTCTTGGATATTAAAGAAATAGACTAATCATAAAGCTATCAGAACATTGTGAAAATTAAAATGGCTCATTAACAAATCTTATGTGCTTTAAAATAGGTGTGATTATTAGAAATCAGAATGCTTTTAGATTTTTCATTTCTATTTCATGATTATTTTCTTTTTTAAAGCTCAAATAACAAGTGCACAGCTTACAGGGCATTTTTTTGTCCATATGCAATTAGGAGACTTCTTTGAATGATTCCAGCAAAAGGTTCCTGAATTACATGGTGTTGTAAATGTGCCTGAGAGTGAGAGCAGGTGATTATTGCTTTTGTATTTCTTACCTTGAACTGCAAAAGGAGAAAAGCAGTTCTCATAATTGAGAAGTGACTCAAAACTCATAACTTCACATGAAGTTTTACTGTGAGAAGAGTAGAATCAATGTGGTTTAAACCTGTTTGATATTTAGTAATAAGTTTGATATATACAGTACACAAGTGTTTAGTAGTGATCATAATTTGGAATTAACCTTTTTTGTTGGAAAAGACTCTTTGAAAATCAATTCTTTTTCTAGTAGAACAAAGATATTTTGCTAACCAGATGACTATTTGACAAACTGAAGGTGTTTCCAGACTGTCTTCATATAGTGCTCCCTTTTTAGTTAACTAATCCAGCACTTTTTTCCTGGCTAAAAACAAAAAAAAGCTGTTAAAAGATGCTCTACAGAATGGAAGTCAGAGATTTAGTAGTTTTGTGTGTCATTGTCTAGTAATGATTTCCTTACAGTCTTAACTTCCTCAGTTTTTTAAATTCATGTAATATTGAGGGAATATAGTAACATTTCAGCAGTGTAGGCTGCTTATTAAAATAATCAAAATGAAATTGTTAACAGAGAATATCCCTCTCTATCTTCAGGAATAAAAAAAATTATACATTGCATATAAATGTCCTGAAGAGCCAAGAAACGTTCAGAATATTTGTGGAGAAATAATATTGCTTTAGCATGGAATGGGTTGGGTTGGAAGGGACCTTAAAGATCATCTTGTTCCAAGACTCTGCAATGGCCAGGGACACCTTCCACTATCTCAGGTTGCTTCAAGCCCTGTCCAGCCTGTCTTTGGAGACTTCCAGGGATCCAGGGGCAGCCACAGCTTCTCTGGGGACAATGGTTATGAATTTTTATATAAATCTACGTATATATATATTTATATACATGCATACATACATATATATATCTTAAAATAAAACATACTAATTTATTTTATTTTACTTTTTTTAATGTGTATGTATATTTCTCTAATATTTACTTTTTCAGGAATTTGGTAAATATTTGCTCCAGGAAAGTTTTGATAATCCTTACGATCCCTTCCAACCTGGGATTCTGTGATAAATTATTTATAGGAAAGACTAAAAACTCTTCCACTATCACAGGTTGCTTCAAACCCTGTCCAGCCTGGCCTTGGACTCTTCCAGGGGTCCAGAGGCAGCCACAGCTTCTCTGGGTAACAAGGTTGTCAATATATATACATATTTATATATATACACACACACATAGATATACATATTTCTCTAATATTTACTTTTTTAGAGTGTGGTAGATATTTGCTCCAAGAAAGTTTTGATAATCCTTGCGATCCTTTCCAACCTGGTATTCTATGATAAATTATTTCTAGGAAAGACTAGAAAAACCTCTCCAAAGGCACTGAAAATGCCAGAAACACGCGACCGCTCGCCATTTTCCCATTTGACCATTTTCCCGTTTTGCTTTTCCTTCCAGAACAAGATCATCCTGGACCCGATGACGTTCAGCGAGGCGCGGTTCCGGCCGTCGCTGGAGGAGCGGCTGGAGAGCATCATCAGCGGCGCGGCGCTCATGGCCGACTCCTCGTGCACGCGCGACGACCGCCGCGAGCGCATCGTGGCCGAGTGCAACGCCGTGCGCCAGGCCCTGCAGGACCTGCTCTCCGAGTACATGAACAACGTAAGTGACAACGGGCACCTCAGCCCCCCTGAGGCTGCAGCTGCTTTAATGTATCTCAGATGTTTTAGCGTGGCTTTGTGCCGAGCTGGTTGAGTTGTTGAAGTTTTTAATGCGTTGCAAACGTTTGACAAGAGTTGGGTATGATCAGAAGCTCACCGGGGGTGGTGTTGTACCTGCCAAGGAACTCAGTGCTCCCCTTGAATTTGGCATTGAAGTTTCTTTTGATGTGATTGCTAGCAGTTCTTTTGGAAGTAGAATACTTTTAAAAATGAAAATAATAGTGAGTAATCTAAATGCGATCTCGGTGCTCCCCATGAATTTGGCATTAAAGCTTCTTCTTATGTGATAACTAGCAGTTCTTTTGGAAGTAGAATACTTTTTTAAACAAAAACAATGGTGAGTAATATAAATGTGAAACAGCCCAAGAATGATTTTCTTATTGAACAGGAATATGGGTAATTTTCAGCATGCTTGCCCCTGTGGGATGGTCATTGTGTTTGATTTTTAGGATGTTACCCATAGATATTTACAAGAGATTGACTTTTTGGTGTATGGATTAAACCACTGAAGGTTTCACTTTCTGGTGGAGCTATGAAATACTCAGTTGCCATGAAAGTAGTGAGTTCAGCACTAGTGCTGTTCACACAATCTTAAAATTAACTCTCTGGGTAGAGTTTCCAGAGGTGTTGGATTGTTCAACATGGTGTGAACTGGCAGTGCATAACCTTTGTTCTGCACAAACAGAACTTGTCTCAGAAAATTCTCTCCACCCAATGTTGTGTATTAAAACTCAGATGTTCTACTGCCATGTCCTTTTGAGGATGTGGGAAAAGGACCAAAGCAGCATCAAAAACCTGTTTTAAATTTAAAATATTTGCCAAGATGTGTCAAACTGAGCATCCTCTACTTTGCTGTTTCTTTGGTTGCTCTCAGAGTATCAGATGACACATTTTGATCCCATTTTGCTGGAATCATCATCAAAATAATGCTGAAGAGGGTGTTCAAGCATGGACCTTTAACATTGTTATTTCCATTGGTTCGGTCACAGTTGTTAGAGTGATGGAATTCAGTATCAATAGTGCAAACTTCAGACCTTTATTCACTTCATTTTACAGTTCAGGCTTAAATGTTGCTTTTCAAAGACATTGTTCCATGTACCAGAGTCACCTCAAGGAATAGCTGTTTGATTGAATTGAAAAGCATTATTTGCCTCTTAGTTTTTTGAAATGATGGTTGACAGGTTCTTGTGCAAGCATGAATGAATGTGAAGTTTTGCTGCTGTGTTAGTTATAAAAGAGAACATTAAATACCAGGTGTTGAGCTTGTGGTGGAAAAGAACTTGCTGAGTTTCTTCCTACAAAATCTTGCTTTGTAGAAGCAATACTGGTATAATCCTTAAAGGTCTTTTGAAAAAAACTTTAAGAATTGATGAGTGGTGGCTTCTCATTTTATTGTGGCGCCTCTTTTTCAGTACACAGAGTTTTGGTAATGATGCAATTTGTCCTTGGACCAGAAACATTCTTACTTTGTTTCTGGCTGCATTTACAGAGGGAGGAAACCTTTACATTCCTGCAGGCATTTATGACCACTCTGAAGGCTGCTAATATTTTCATCATTTTTACTTAAACACATAATGGTGTGAGCAGCTGTTTTTATGGTTTCCACAGTATAGTTTTTATTCAGTTTTTTTTTTTTTTCCCCTTTTTTGTGTCCTTCTTAGTCTGAGTTGCACAACCCCTGTAATTTATTTATTTTTCTGCCTTATACTGAATGTAGTCAATGTATACTGAAATGTAGTCAACTTAAGTAAGATTTTTTTTTTATATCTATTGAGTAAACATTATAAAAACTGAATATATACTTAATTTACATAAAATGCAGAACTTCTGATTTTACCAGATCTGGTGTGGTAGAATTTTACAATGATAACTTTCAAACTGATGTTAGCAGTTACAAGGGATGGGATTAAGATTAGATATTGCTATGCCTAAATTTAATTTTTTTGTACATAAGGACAGGTAAAGTAGGGGGTGTCAATTCAGTTCTTTAAGGGTGGATGCCATTTTAAGATACCAGCTTAAAAAATTCCAATGCTTCTTTGAGCATTGACTCCTCAATCTGCCCCTCCAAGGAATTTGAATCCTCCATGGGTCAGTTTGTAGCTGCCAGCCAACTTCCATGTCATGTATGCTCTAGGAATGGACAGATTGCCAGAGTCCTTCCTTCATTCAATCATTTGAGCCCCCGTTGCCTAATCTCCAGTTATAATTGTCAGAGACCAGATCAATACTGGAGATGAGATCAATACAGCCAACAGAGCCTGAAGAGCCATTGAGATGACAACTGTTATAATCTTATATGGGCAGGGGGTAAATTAAATATCTCTAGACTTCTCTGATATATTAATTAAATCCCATAGCCAGGACAGAAAGTCAGATCCTGAGCTTGTAGGCAGCTCCTGTTATCTAAAGGTTGAATTTCATCCATTCTGCCATGGCAGAATTTGCTTTGGTACTAAACCTATTTTCTTGAAACCTGTGGATTGTTTTTCTTGGTTTCTCAAAAGTATGTTCAGTATAACAGAAAATCTCACTTGGAAAGGATTTTAAAACTTTCACAAGTTTTCAGAAGGATAAAAGTGAATGGGACACACCAAACATGGCACAGTCCTAAGTCAGATCAAGGTTGATTTTGCAGAGATGCACATCTTTAACATCTTCTGCCTGTGTGGATTTAAACCACTGCAATCCTGCTCTTGCTTTAGAGATTGTGAAATTAATCAGTCATTCATGTTCTGGGGTTTCTTCTGTTTGATGATAGCTGGAAAATGATGATTTTTTTGGGATGAGTGTTGATCAAATGAGCATACAGCAAAGTAAATGCTCTGTGATGATATTTAAAGAATGCCGATGAAGGGCAGGGTGTTGGCAATGTTAGGTCAGTCCTTCTCCAGCTTAAAATAGTTCCTTTTCATTCATCTACTTCTATGATTTGGGTTCAGAGAAATGCTTCCTACAAACCTTCAAGAGCTGAAGGAAAAGGCTATGAGTTGAAGAAAAAGTAGATACTTTCAAAATTTTGGCACCAAAGAAATATCTGAAAATAAAAGGTTGGTAGAAAGAAGGAGAGGGGAGATTTTTACTTAGGTAAGGGAAAATGGTGCTGCTTCTGCAGCTGTATTATTTACTGTTATAAAAGATGTGTTATGGTTTCTGCTTCCTTCTCCTCAGATAAATGTTGATTTGCTCCATTTCCTACCTGTCAAATAATGGTTTTAATTAGTCCCTAGGCTCTTTATGAGTTCTAGGAATAATTATATATTTGTATAGTTACTGCATTGACCAGAGTCTCACAGTACCTAAACCCTCTGGAAGGGAGATCCCTGGGAGTTCTCTGCAAGAATTTCTGTGGAGATGAGCTATAAACTGCTTCATTATTCTTTGTATATCCAGAATTATGCATATTCTTCATTTGCCTTATCTGTAACTGTGACAAAATCTTTTCCCAGCTTGATATCTATTATTTCTCTCATGAACTCAACTGAACTTTAGAATCTGTTACTTTTGGGAAGCAAAGACAAGAGAGTTCTCAGTTTGCTGTGTCAGATGACTTTTTTTTGCCAGTGTCTCAGAGAAAATTGATAGAGTATTTTTCAGCTTCTTATGCATGTGTGATAAATCCCATAATTTATTTCAAAATAAAATTACATTTCCAGACTTCTGTCCTACAGAGAAGACCTAAATGCAGCTCCACAGAAGCTCTTAATGCAATTGTTTTCCATTTGTCTAAATGAAAGCCTTATTTAACGGATGGTTAGCTCTGATTGGGGTCTAGTTTCCTGCTGCTTTTCTCTCCTGGATCCTTCATGATTTATATTGCAGGCTGTCAGGGAGCAAAAATACCAGGAACCTGGGAGTTCCAGCTCTTAAACTCCTGGCTCAGAAATGCGCTGCCAAACTCAACCCAGTGCTGGGCACCCTTTCTAGCAACACTCTGGGTGCTGCTGGGTTGAGGTCTGATTAACATAAGAAAGAGAGAAAATTATATCTTTAGAAAAATATGCTTAAAAAAGAATGCTTTGAATTCCCTCTGACATCATCAGAGCCAGTGCCAGAGACAGACTGAATGTTGTGTTGCTGGGGTGTATCAATGATAAATTTGGAAAGCAGTTGACAAGTGAGTAAGCCATGAGTGTTAAAGACCTCTGTAATCACTCCAGTACTGGCTTGGCATTAATTCAAATCTGATTTTGAAAAGGCATTTCCCAGCTGGTTCAAATATGATTTTCTCCTCTAAAGCCTTTGGGCTCATTATTAAGCCAACTCGCATTCTCCAGCCTTGCTTTGCCTCTTATCCAGTGTTCCTGCTCCCAGTCCCTGCTGACATTGCAGAGGAGCTTTTCTTTTTCATTATAAATGGTTTTTTGGGACAGATATTTCTGTGTGTCTGAGTGCTATGATCAGTTCTTAATGGAGTCTTGTATTACTGCTGATGATTTAATGTTTAGACGTGAGAATCACATCTGAGAAATAGATTTCCCAGAGAGGCTGTGGAATGTCCCTCACTGGAAATATTCCAGAATAATCTGGATGCAATCCTCTGTAATGTGCTCTAGGAAAACCCTACTTTACCATGTGGGTAATGTTTGCTCTTTGAAATCTTACTCTCTAAAGTTACTACCTGTCCTTGATACCTGCTTACTCCTAAGTTGCTATATGTTCTAATTTGTGTTTCTTCTAAAGAAGAAAATGTAATTTCTTCAAAAGAGGACATAGCAGAAAAACAAATGAGAAAGCACAAGGCTGCTGGCAGCTTCTCTTCACAAATAGATCAGCAAAAAATTGGAATGGCTCAAAGGAAAAACAGAGTGCTGCAGTACATGGAGATGAAATGTCCTTAGCAGACAGCTGGTTATTGTGCTTGATTGGAGAATGAAAAACATGATAGCAACTGAAAAATCCATAAACTCTCAAGATGCTCCCAGCTGTCACATTTAACAG